AAGTAGTTCGAATGCGATGTGCTTGTCGTGACTGGTCTTTCTGCCTACCTATCAGGCCATTCGCAGTTCTTCCGTGTACCAGAGTCGTTCAGACATAGTGCCAAAAAGCCTTGGCGTTCCTCAAGGTTCGATACTCTGGTCCTACAGTTCTTAATCTACGTCAATGAATGCCATGTCAGCCGGCCTCGCTTGTCTCAAATACGCGGATGATACCATAGTCGTAGCCTGAATGGAAAGCAGAGTTGGCAGACTACTTTACCGAAATCAACAACCTTGAAGACTGGCATCCAACTGATGAAAAGTAGATAGGCATTTCTGACTTTGAATTTGACTTTGAGATAAAGTTTAAGTGCATTAGAGGTGTTGGGATTAAAGGCAACTAAACGCTTTTTCTGGCGACCGTATTTAAGAATATAAAGAACATAGTTACTATAAAACATTGGATATCCGTTTTTGTGCAACATTATTTGAGACGTTAAAGCTCTTATGTAGGGATATAGGTTCTATTCAACACTGTTGTGCCTTGAGTCTCACGCTAAAGGTCATGAAAAATGAAGATTACATGAAATGTACTGCAAGAATGTTAGGCTACAGGTTAGTGTTGCGGCTGTCTGAAAATGCTGACGGTGAATGTTAGGCGAACCATTATCGATTGAACTGAAGCAAAAATGGAAGCTTCCAACATTTTTGTTTCAAGAGCGAAGGTTACATGCTTCATTCGGTCTCAAGCGCTGAAAAATCGCGAGCAGTGGTGCAGAAACGTGAGGATGTGAAAAGTCATTAATGAATCTGCAATACAAGGCTGACTTAATATTCCAATATACGCAAAGGGCTTCGACTTCAAGAGTTCATGAAACAGACGACACTGGTGGGGGGATCCTAATGACACCCAAGAAGAAGGAAACGTTACAAGTTACTGGGTCCAACAATTGGATTATGCCCCAAATAGTGAAGTTATTAGTAGGCAGACCGGCCCCGTTTGCAAGCTTTAGTTCCGGGGACAGTACCGATAAGCAAAGTTTGATCAACGTTATCGAAAAGTGCAAAGACATTACGAGTTGCTATGACGGATCCGCCTCACCGCATGACTCCCTAGAAAATTTAGATTCTAGAATGTCAAGAACGATAGCGATATTCGTTGCACACCAAAGTGTTACTCGCATTACCCACCAGGACAGTGTCATTAAATACTCCCGGTTAGCAAGATCTTTGATCGCATACAATGCCTTTCGTGTTTGTTCAGATTAGCATCATAGCAAAGAATTCATGACGACGAATAGCAAAGAAGAAAATATGCCTCCTATAGGACTATAACTAACAGGGTACAGTTTACATAGCCCTCCTTCCACTCTTGCTATTAATTAATCTGTTATGTTCCTCATTATCTTTCGTATCCATTACAGCATTTCAACAGTCTTCTAAAATCTGTTTAAGAATTAATCAACGAAATCTACCGTTTACCAGAAGATTGTCGGTTTAACTATAAATCAAAATATCCCAAAATTAATAAACAATACAGGAACACATTGAAACCGCTGCATTAGACGCCGCAAAAAAAGAAAATGTCACATCGCAAACATAACAACTTAAGCGATAAGTCATCAGAAATCGATCGCTCGTCCCTTTCTTTCCCAGTCTCCGTAACGAGTTGGCTCCGGTCCAGTTGGGCCATCGATTTCGCCTGTTTCAGGATTTTTGTCGTTAGGAAAACGCGGGAATCTCATTCCGACAATAGTCTGACCCGTAGGATCATCATACTGTTCAGAAGGATTGTCCATCCGGATGACTGGAACTTTTCCTTTTCTTATCGTTGTTTTAACTTCATCTGTTACAGGTTTTTCAGGCTGTACGGTAGAAGCGCACCGACACCCCACACCTAAATGGCAGTGAATGGTTTAAGCAATGGTGAAGGAAACAGCATAAAACACGGCTTTATAAATATAAAATGCAGAAAATAATATGGTCAATCGGATGATTGACAGGTACCGATGTTTCGGCTCCTGTCTCATGACCTTGTGTCAACGTTTAGGAGGTTAGCAAAATTTCAAAGGTTTCGTTTTTATCTGCGGCGACTGGTAGGTTTGGAGCGAGAAGACAAGTTTTCAGTCCTTGCTGGATAAATAGTCTGCGGGCGATAAGACTCACTGCATCCGTGCAGAGTTCATATCCTTCGTCATGGCTGACACTGTCGCAGAACAGGATGATTAATGCTTCGTTGACATGCCTGTGTAGCCAATGTCACTCTCTGATGATGCTGGCAAAATCTGACTCTCGAGGATGGGTAGGAGCGTGTTCTTACTGTGCTGAGTGCTGCACAATGCCAGAGGTATTTTCGCATTGTTTCTTGACTTTGCAGGGGTAAAGATTTGTTTTCTTCATGGGTGCTTCGTTATTATGTATCATTCACAATCGTCCGCAATGATCCACCTTCTTCAGCTTGACAGGGGTGTCTTTGTTCTTTGAATGATGATCTTCTCCGTATCTCTTAGGTAATATTTCTCACAGTTTCACTGTAATTTGTGGGAAACCAAGCCTAGAGAATTATTGTACTCATAATTCCTTAATAACACCTCAAGTCTACAACAGCTCTGGCAGACGTATCAAGGAAACATTAATCATTCAGTCATGCGACAATGTCAACCAC